GTACTATACTCTCTACTGCAAAGCCAGTTCTAATATTTAGCAATGCCCTAAATAAATTCGCTAACTACTTATATAATACAAAAGCCAAGTAACTGGTTTTTCGTACCGTGGAAAAATTCTAGCCTGAGCAACCATTTCCAAGACACTAGTCTTGCCAGCACTCTGATCACCAACGACTACCACCTAAGAAATTAATGCAAGTTAGAAACACATTGTTATTATAGTTGTTGTTATTACTTACTTATGTGATTATCCTCTTCTAAATCTTAGAGCTGGAGCTAAAAACCTGTTGAGCACTAAACAGCAGACTTAAGTGTTCCTTGAGTTTTTCTTTTCTTTATGTAATGGCTTTGGCTGGCCCAACTTCCATGTTCAAAATACGGGATATCCTAAAGCAGGTGTCACGATAGTACCGCTTATCAATTAATCAACCAATCAATGGATTTATAAGGTGCATATTACAGCTGTCTCTATGCGCCAGTACATCCTTTACTATGTCAAGCCTCTACTGACCATCTGTCTCAGAAGCTTGTACCAACCAACTTTTTATCTTGCTTTCATTCAGAAACCAGGCTTGTGTACTGAACACCACACAAGAGTCTAAATTTGTCTTTCTTGTTTTGATATACACCATTTTCGCGAATTTGAAATGAAAATTCTCGATAACGTGGCAATTAGCATTGGGGGACTTTCAGAGGCCTAGCATTTCGCTCTACGTAGTTACCATCACGGATTAAATCGACAATAAAACTAAATTACTAATGAGCACAAATATTTTAAAACAGAAAAAACACAAAATGTTTATATTAAAAACAAGTCTTAGTCTTAAAAAGCTATTTCAATGTTTACATTTACAGTAATTAGCAAGATCGTATCTGTTGTCTACTGCTGCTTATAGCAAAGGTCTAGCGATGCCCTAGTTGTAACTAGCCAGCTGCACAAGTCCTGCTGCACAAGTCCCGCTGCACAAGTCCAGCAGTGAGTTGCGAGCTGTCTCTTATACACATCTAGATGTGTATCATGTGACATCATCACCAGATGTCCAAGGTGCAACACCACTAGGCAGTCAGTTGATAAAGATCTCTGATGTTGCAAGTGCTCTGATTAATATCATACACCTTTTACAAACATTTTTCATCTACACTCTTGCATATATAAGTTGCTTACTTCTTTCTGTTGAGTAAGATCCAACAATCAATTGCTATCAATAAATTGGGAATCCTACTGAAAGCAGAAGGAACTTAACCATTTACTCACTAAGTACATTGTCTAATTTAAAGTATTGCTTAGTTCTTTCCCTTGAGTGCGATCCAACAATCAATTGCTATCAATAAATTGAGAAACCTACCGAAAGCAGAAGGAACTTAAGCATTTACTCACTAAGTACATTGTATTAATTTAAAGTACTGCTTACTTCTTTCTCTTGAGTGAGATCAAACTGCCTATCACTGTCCTTAAACTGGGCAACATGCTGTGGACCTTCACTCAGAGTTACTTTTACTGGTGATCGGGTCATCATCTCACCAGATCCACTACCAAAAAAAGGGTTGAATATTTACAATGCATAATGTATGTACATGGCAAATAACAACAGGTCAATATTAATGGTACCAGTTGAGTATATTCTAATATTTTAAAGGAACAATGCTGACTAGAGCCCTTCAGGGAATAGGACAAGGGGAGTTCCCTTGTACCTGTAACTCTGTTAATATTTAGAATTTGGATAACTAATCAAAATCTGAAGATGTAATTTAAATATGGCAAAATATAATTAAAACATGAGAATATGTTTAACTAATATCTATTAAAAAAACTATCCAATAGCAATTTGTTTTTACTGAGCCTGAAACCAATATTTAACAAGATTTCAAGTACTCTTGACAAGTTTCTGCAAATTTAGCCAACTAAAACTGAAAACAACTGTCATTTTATGAGGGGTGGGCATTCCCATTTCCCTATTCTCCTCACTGACATCATTGTAACTGGATTGTACTATACTCTCTACTGCAAAGCCAGTTCTAATATTTAGCAATGCCCTAAATAAATTCGCTAACTACTTATATAATACAAAAGCCAAGTAACTGGTTTTTCGTACCGTGGAAAAATTCTAGCCTGAGCAACCATTTCCAAGACACTAGTCTTGCCAGCACTCTGATCACCAACGACTACCACCTAAGAAATTAATGCAAGTTAGAAACACATTGTTATTATAGTTGTTGTTATTACTTACTTATGTGATTATCCTCTTCTAAATCTTAGAGCTGGAGCTAAAAACCTGTTGAGCACTAAACAGCAGACTTAAGTGTTCCTTGAGTTTTTCTTTTCTTTATGTAATGGCTTTGGCTGGCCCAACTTCCATGTTCAAAATACGGGATATCCTAAAGCAGGTGTCACGATAGTACCGCTTATCAATTAATCAACCAATCAATGGATTTATAAGGTGCATATTACAGCTGTCTCTATGCGCCAGTACATCCTTTACTATGTCAAGCCTCTACTGACCATCTGTCTCAGAAGCTTGTACCAACCAACTTTTTATCTTGCTTTCATTCAGAAACCAGGCTTGTGTACTGAACACCACACAAGAGTCTAAATTTGTCTTTCTTGTTTTGATATACACCATTTTCGCGAATTTGAAATGAAAATTCTCGATAACGTGGCAATTAGCATTGGGGGACTTTCAGAGGCCTAGCATTTCGCTCTACGTAGTTACCATCACGGATTAAATCGACAATAAAACTAAATTACTAATGAGCACAAATATTTTAAAACAGAAAAAACACAAAATGTTTATATTAAAAACAAGTCTTAGTCTTAAAAAGCTATTTCAATGTTTACATTTACAGTAATTAGCAAGATCGTATCTGTTGTCTACTGCTGCTTATAGCAAAGGTCTAGCGATGCCCTAGTTGTAACTAGCCAGCTGCACAAGTCCTGCTGCACAAGTCCCGCTGCACAAGTCCAGCAGTGAGTTGCGAGACATTGGCGACGCTGTTTCAAAATAAATCCGATAAAATAATCTATAGACATCATGATCTTTTGATTCATGGAGCTTTAATATAGCACTTGAAGTTCGATGGTCAGTGAAGCATCCATCTTCTTTGTTTGTGATTGTTTTGCCCAAGTACTCAAAGTCTCTAACATTTTCAATATCTTCTCCAGCTATTCTCACTACGGAGCTATAAAATGATTCTTTGTAATTAAACCAGCATTTACTTACTGCACAAATCCACTTGATGTTTATGAACCCATTACCATTCAGTAGGTAATGTCAATCAACTCTTTACCCACCTGTAGTATTTGATGCTGATCAACTCCATACCCATCTTTAGTTGATGTTGATGTAATAAATTACCATTCCTTTCCTTATTTTAACATATTTATTACATAGAACATTCTAGAATTGTATTTATTTTACCAAACAAACAGTGTAATTCCACATTGGTAATTACAGGAACAAAGGAACATAAGAGACCATGTGGAAGGTTCTAGATGTTGAAGTACTAAAAGCAATTGCCTATTGGTTAATTATGATGTAATGTGACCAATGAGGAACTTAGGCAATATAGAATGCTCTTGAATGCTCTGGAGTTCTAGGGCTAATGTATATAAGGTGAGAGCTTGGTCTTTCTAGGGGAGCTCTTTTTGAAAACAAACGTTTATGTGAATGTTATTGTGTTGTTTTGAGACCGGATTCTTGTTGGAGTTTATACGGAATAAAAGTTTATTTAGAGTTGTGTTACAACATTGTGAGCAGTGTTTATATTTTATATATGTCAAAGAGGGATTCCTAGTCATTTCTTTACCGTTTGGAAATACGTCAAGTAGGAATTCATGACAGTTGATCAACCCTTATCCATTAATTAACTCTAGTCCAGTCTATGTTTAACAACCCCTTACCCCTCTGTAGTTGATGATGCAGGAAACCATGGAATTCCCCATAGGTCTTGTTCCAATGACTGGGGTAATAATGTGAAAAAGTGCTCTGAGACTTAGTTGTGTAGAGTGCTTTATATAAAAACCTGCATTATTATTATTACTATTATGATCAACTCCTTACCCTTGGCAGATGATCTTGTGTGTTGTAAGAGTTATCATAGCCAGACAACTCATCAAGGACCTCAGAGTACATATCAATCAAAGATTTCTGAAATAACAAAAAAAGTGAGTTTATCTTTTGACTTGACTTTAACATGAAAAATAATCTATATATGTTTGTATCTGACTATCATAAAATAACAGATAACCTTATCTGTAATACAGCTTATTGTGAGGTATGTGAAATAGAAAAAGTTGAAAGCTAGAAATAAGTCATGTAAAATGCACAGGAATCAAAACTCCAGTTAAACTTCAATTATGTTGTCATGAATGTAGATATATAGATAGATACACAGACAGCAGAAAGATGGGCATGATAAATACAGTAGATACATAAACAGATATTCAAAGATTGCTACGGTGGTTTAGAGTACCAGGAATTAAATTCAATCTTACTTTTTCTCTTCTTGAGAATGATGACCTATCACCTCTCAAAAGTAAAGCTTTCTTCAGTTGTTTGTTTTCTCGTTCTAAGCGCTCAATCTCTCGTTGATAACGAAGCTGAAAATTAGAAATAGTGTATTTTCTTTAGGGTACTCTACAAACTATTAATTTTGTTACACTGTATGGAGAATATGTGGTCCATTTTTATTTAAAGTTGAATATTTAAGATTTGGCGTTAAAGTCTGAGGTCAAATTATTTATGTGAACATTTTTAATGATAATTTTGATTTTTACCAAAGTATGTGTAATGCATTGCAGCTTACAAAGGTTATGAATAAGCGCATTGAGACTTCAGTATAATGTGCTATATGAAGTCACACTACACTATCTTAGTTTCTGTGTTGTATTGTTCAAAGCAAATAGAGATTGTTAGGGCCCTTAATAGGAAAAACATTTTAAATGTATAATTTTATGTGGCATATATCCCTCTTTTGCCCATCTGAGCATTAAGGGAGGCAAAAGTTCTTGGGAGATTCACTGTATCTTTGAGGTAAGTTTAAGCAGCCTATTTGTTTTGTGTACCTGTGCTTCCAGAAATTCCTCCTTCTGCTCTTCAAGCCTATCTCTCTCTTTCTCTTTTGTTGCTGCACCCTTTGAGAAACTTGTCTCCGATTCTTTTAATGCCAGTTGAATTTCACCTTTTTTCAGAGCTAGTATAAAAGATTATTTGTTTATAAACATCAAAACATTGTGAATGTTACAGACTGTAAAGCTTAATTCTTAAGCCAACTGTTCAAATTTGGTTGAGGAAACTCTCTTTTCCACTCTACACTTTCCTTGCTCTCCCCACCCCCTCTACCATTCACACTGAAATGTTAGCTGAGTATATTACACACCTCCATTGAGGAAAGAGCCTCTGCCTTCACTGACTCCCTGAGATAGAACAGACAGACCTGCACAAAAAAACAAAGCGAATGAAAAATTGAGGGATGGATGAATGGAGGAAATCACTCATCCATAGCATCTAGCTTACATGCACCATTGCTATTCACTGATATATACCCAATTCTTATAAATTTATTGGCTGTGGAACAATTAACTAACATTTTGGAAACATTTATTTACGGTCTATATTGATTCTTTTGTTTATTCAATAATTTTATATTTTGGAATAGTTTCAACAGGCAAGTATGTATAATTTATTATTGCGGTTTAGTAAAAATGAAGTCAATTTTCAATAATTTTATACTATCATAGATATTAATAAAGTTAACTCTTAATACTTATATTAAAACTGTAATATTGGTAACTAAAATTTGTTTTGAATTATTTAATGATCAAACAGGATCTCAAATATTATTAAAGTTACATGCAGTTCAAATATATTTTATGTGGAACCATGCAAAGATACAGAAGGTTAAAATAAGAATTAAAAAATAATAAAAATTATGTAAGCAAGCAAGCAAGCAAACAAACCACATAAAAAAAAACCAAAAAACACAGGTCTCAGTGAAGGCAGAAACCATTCATCACATAGGGAGGTTACTTCCTTTCAATTATTAAATATGAGGGTAGATATTAACCCATAAGAACGGCTTTCAGAAAGGAATCATTCATTAAGATAAATATTATTAACAGTGGTTTATTATTGCTACCATGCAATTATCCTCATCATAATAATCCTTAATTAAGCATCTCATTTGTTTTTCTTTCACGTCTAACAGTAAGAACACTTGCCAAACACAGGATGGACTATGCCATTTTAAATTACGTACAATGAGGCTTAGAAGGTGGAGTGACTTCAGAAGTTTGGGAATTGAACCCAGCAAACTGGAAGACCAGCATCATAACCACAAAGAAATCCACTCCAAATCTGTTATCTTGGAGGCACTTGGCTGACAATCACATACATACCCAATAACATTGTTTTAACAATATAGTGAATGTCTGTAATTAAACATCTTTTCAGGGGGTAAGAAATCCTTGTCAATTCACACAATTATTGCATCATATTGCCAAACAATCACAATTAATAAACTTTTTTAATATGCTTGCTAATCAAAAGGACTGCTTATTTCAAAGCTTTGCAACTCATTGTTATTACATTATGGGCTAGTTCACTAAATCTAACTCTGAATGCTAGCAACTTTACTGTAAGTATTTGCATAAATTAATTCAAGCTCCAATACAGCAAAATTGTTTGAACCTAAATAAATTACTCCATTTGCAGATGAGATCATTATTACCTATTTTATGTAAATCAATATCAACTATTGATGACCATACCTTCACTGGAATCAGCTACAATGTCCTTTAAAGTGTTGACATTACGTTTTAGCCAACCTTTCTCTGGTAGTGCAAAGTGACTTAAGAACTTATTAAGTCCAGCAACAACACCTTTCAGGGAATCGTTATCTGGCATGTATTCATCTACCCAGCTCAAGTCAGGAAATTTCTCTTTCCATGCTTCATATTTCTGTATATAACAATTTCAAATAATAGTTGAATGTTAATATTAGGTTTAATTCAACACAAAGATGAAATAACACTGAATCTAATATGTAACATAGAGATGGAGTACCACCATAATATTGAATCTTCAAATACAGCTTTAAAATGATAATTTGAAAGACAGTTTTTTTCATCTCATACTTACAACTTTTAATGTTGTTCCACCAGCAACAGCACCTCCAAGCACTAAATATCGCAACTTCAAAAGCCTAGATAAAGTACGGGCAGCTATGTTAGCTATCAACCTCGGATTTTGGGTTCTAAGAAACACAAGCTTTGGCCGTGGTGTTGGATGGATCTTATTCACGTGTGATAAGCTGGAATATCGCATGACTAATATTTGAAGAGTTCGTTCAGGCCAGTGTCGTTTAAAAAGTTGCCCTGATGATTGGTTAGTACTGAACGGTCTCCGATGATAAGGAACTGGAGATCTTCCATGTTTTCGTAATATCTGGGCACAGTGTGGGCTGTTGAACAATACACACAAAAACATTAAAATTAATATTAAATTAAGACAGTGGCTACTGTTACAACAGTCTTAAAGCAATTCCTAAATCTGATTTGATGTTACTGCCCTAATCTAATCCATACATTAAAAAACTATCAGAATTAGGAATTATTTTAAGATGCTAACCCCCAACTGTACAACACGGCCTGCATTGGGAATATCCCATGCACAAAAATAAATAAGGCCTTGAAATCTGTCCACACAATTCAGAAATGATTCAAATGAAGCCTGGGTCACCACCTGTTTCGGCCACTCAGACTCAGGCACGTCCTATCCTAATTAAAGGTAATAAACTCATTGGCATGGAAATGAAACAGTGATCAGGTGAGTCTTCAATCGAGCTTTAAAAACAGTGACTGAAATAGATCCATGAATGAGCAAAGGAAACGCTTCTACAACTTACACAGTGACCATAAAAGAACGCGTCCCACGTGGCTTCAATCGCCAGGGTGGACAATTAAGAGTTGTTACGTCCGACGCTGACTGGAGTGTACAAGAGCATGTCACAGAGCGAAGGTTAATTCAGAAATACATAGTGGTGATAGATTTGCGTTACTTTATTACGCATCCTCCGCAAAATAAACAATGCCAACAACAGAAACTCTCTAAAACTATTGTCATCTGTGGGTCCAAAGAAATTTTCTTCCCACATCATTATTACTTGCTTTTTACTTGTTTCAGTCCCAGTAAATACTTCATCAGTTCTCCTAGTAGTTTAGTCAAGCACTAGTAGTACTATATGGAGAAGGTTTGTAGATAGTAAAATAGGCCTAGGCCTCCCCTAGGCCTCAATGTAAAGCATTTTAATTTGTGCAGATGATGCATTAAAAACTAGCTCAAATTTGTGCATAGGTCTATTGCATAATAATTTGGTTATAAAGATTAGGTCAAAAATTTTTTTTATGGTAAATCATTATTTTCTGAAAAGCGAGGATAGATATTTGCACTGAAACTGAGTATGAGGATGTACTCCCCACATCATCCTTTTAATATGTATGAAATTTGTCATTTGTGTTGATCCAACAAAATAAACAACAATAGTATTCACACTACGTTTCGCGAACGATCCGTTCGCTTTCTCAAGTATTGTAGACTGGTGATGTTATCGCCAGTCTGGTCTGACGTCACCTCAGTGTGGTTGAGGTCGAAGTGCATCGCTGCAGGCCCCCCCCCTTAGTGTTGTGGTCCAATATGATATCATCATAGATATGTGACAGAATGTGTCCTCCTTCATCTCTGTTCATAGTATCTGTTGTTTTTCTGATCCATAAAGATTCTCTGACTTTTCGTTCAAACCATGAGCTTTCTTTTTGTAATATTTTTATGTCCCAATTTGGAATATGATTTAGTTGTGTGGCATGATCGGTGATTGCAGATTTATTTAAAATTTTGGAATCGGACAACCTTGCT